ACGATGAGAAATAAAGGCGGCACGATTATGTGGCCCATAAATCAGCGGAATATTTGTTATTAACGATTCCCTTTTTCCATATAACTCCCCCCCACCCCCCCTCCCCCCCACCCCCCTTTGGCAGGTCTAGTGCGATTAATGGGTGGTCATTAAGTCACCATTACACCTGAACAGCTGCAAAAACTATCGCGTGGGTAAAGTATGCAGGTTGTTTATAGGTGGGGGGGACGAGAGCCGACACTGCATCATCCCCCTTCACACATAGTACACCACCATCCCCTTAAGCCTAAAAACGTACCCTACAACAAACGTCATTAACTCCTTCTCCTTCACTTTCTTTGTTTCGTTTCCTTCATCCCCGTTGTGTAATGGGAGGAACGAGAAGCAAGTAGCCGGTGATATAATGGGAGAGAAGGACTGTGTGTGTAGGAGTTATATAAAAGAGATCCTTAAGACTTTGTAGCGGAGGTGGGAGGTAAGCCTAACGTCGTACCCACCGCGGCAGGTCAATGAGACGAACAATCGGGCTTGTTAGGCGGACAATACGAGGTTCCTTCCCGCCTTACACCCCCCGAGTGACAGCCACTTTCTTATTGCTACTCGCTTACTCTACTTAATTCTCAATCATATTTTTAAAGAGTAATTATTGAAAATTTGTTTTGTTAATGGTTGTGTTGAGGATAATATGTTTGTAACTCACTTTTTTTTTACGTTTGTAATTTCCTAATGAAAGAGGAATTTATTTTATTGTTTTAGTTGCTTATGATGGATAGTGGGGACAGTGAGTTATTTTAGGAATTTCATTTTTTCAGGAGTAAATTGACATAGTTTTAGGTATGGCGAGGCGTAATTATCAGCGTGTGTTGATTTCATGCCTATTTGTGTAAATCAAAATCTCAATATATACACAAGCCAACATAATTCCACTCTCAAAAATTTCACGTAAGTCTGCATGCAGCGTATAACTTGGTAATTGTTACGTTCAAATTAACCGAAGTTAGAAATAAGTTGAACTTAACTGAAATTAAAGTAAAACTTGTGTAATGTTAATCATGTCATAAAGTACTCGTAATAAATGAACCATGACGATGGAGGAAGAAAAAGAGGAGCTTATAAAAAAAAATCCCTGCCACGTCATAGAATCCAGTCTCTCTTAAGCCTAAAACCGTACTCAGTTTTTGCACGACCATAAACGTGACCCGGTGATTTTTTTATTTTTTTTTTGTGTATGTGTGGGGAAGGTAGTGTGGTTGACTTATGAATGGGCGTGGATTTTAAACTGAACTACCTTACGAACAAGAGGTTTTATGGGAGAGTTTGGCGCGCTCTGCTGATAAATGGTGTAGATGGGAGGGAAGGAGGGGATGACGGTCTTAAGCCTGCGGTCTTAATCACTCCGATTTTCATAACTCTTTACGCATTTAATTATCTCTAATTTCGTCTTACTTACGTAGATTTTTCTTCTCCTTGTTGGTAACTTAGGTGCCAGGCTAGTGATAATAATTAAATGGGAAGTGTGATGTGATATGAATTCATGATGTGGCGGAGATAAAGTTATGTAACCTGGTCGTTGTTTCCCAGCGGATGTGGCCGTCCCTCCCCCCTCACCGCCGTCTGTTTATAAACATTGCAGTTGTAGTTACTTATTGTTGTTTTAATTTGTTTTTAAGTTAGTTTTTGTGACTTTTTTAATTACTGCATCGTTATTATTATCATTATTATTGTTAGTAGTAGCAGTAGTAGTAGTAGTAGTAGTAGTAGTAGTAGTAGTAGTAGTATACGAATATTTATGTATCAATTTAGACTTTATGAAATGTATAGTTTACTGTCTCATGATGGTAGCTATAGTTGACAACCTGACACATACAAAGATATTAAGAAGAAAATGTGTTCGTATACATGAGTGTGCGTGCGAGTGTAGTATATAAATAGTGTGTGAATGCCTATTATATTTTTCTCCAAGGATTAAAATAAGATATCGCAAATATAAATTTTACCCATTACTTTGCTACCGTAGGCCTACTGACTAAATATTAATAATAATCTCACAACAACCTTCCACGTAGTACAAGAGGAAATGAAATTATTCACCTAAAAGTCTAAGGGAGACTGACTCACTAGGCGACATTCACTCCGACCTGGGTACATATTCGTAAGGGTTCGTTCGGTGCATATCATTTGTAACTGTAGAATAGTACTGTATTGTAGATGAAAGAATGCATATAATTTATTACTTAAGCTATAGCATAATAATATTACCGAAAAATAGCATCATAATTTTACCACAAGTCCTATCAATCGGATATCAATCAAGCAATCAGGATACCGTCATCATATCTGAGGGTTGGCTACCACAGTCCTCCACTCTGAACGTTTTGAGGCTATCTTTACCAATCCTCCAAGGTTTTGTATCTCTCTGGGGACCAAGTTTTTATTTTAATTCATCTAACCCATTCTCTACCTTCCCCTGGCCCTCCTATACCTTCAATTTTGCCCATTAGTAATTCTGTTATCCCCTCATCCCTAATTATATGACCAAAGTATCTTATTTTTGTATTTTTCTGTACATTTCAAGTATTTTTATTGAGGCGTTTGCTAATCTTGATACTTCTTCATTTGTTTTCCTCTCGGTGGAGCTTATTCTTAGTATTCGCCTATAACACCACATTTCAAGGGCCCCCAACCTCCATTTTTATACTTTATCTTTAGATAAAATTAAGGTTTATTATATAGTGGATTTGCTACCATTAATATAAAGTGCATAAACCTGGCTGTATTTGGCTTGTACTCGTAATATGTTCAGTAGCTATTAAATGAGTAGATATATGTATTAATAACGAGAAAAACATTTATTACACATCAACAGTCAAAAATTGATTCAGTGACCTAAATGTTAGTTAACTTATAGGTATACGTATCTTAATTCTATTCCCGAAATAAGGTGGTATTATTATTATTATTATTATTATTATTATTATTATTATTATTATTATTATTATTGTTGATGTTGTTGTTGTAGTCCAAGGTATAGATAACGAATGATAAAGAAGGTCAATAGATACGTAAGTAGACATAATGAAGAATGCAAACATTACTGTTAGATAACTCATAATATTACCCGAGGTGTAATAACGTCCTGTCTGGATCATTGACTTAGGGTGGAGTAATGGACGTAAATGAGGCGAAAAGAATCTCTTGGATGTTCCTCCTTGGCTGAGTGAAAGTACTTGAAAAGAAAAAAGGAAAATTTATTGAAAAAGAAACGATAATTCGGGAAAAAAATGGAAAATAGGAAGTAAATGACAGGATATCAATCTGCACTTTAAAAACAGAATGTATTGGTGTAAATAAAAAAAAAAGAACTGGAATTAAAAAACATTAGAACACAAATATAAAATAATCAATTGGGAAGAGAAGAAAGAAATAAGGAGGAGATATGTGAAAGTTGTTGACACGCAAGTTACCTAGCTGGCTCGTCTTAAGCAAGAAGTAGGCTCTGGCAGTGTTCTATATTGTAAGGCAAGGAACATCCGGTCCACTGTTCCTGGAAACTCATTCGTACGTTATAGTGCATGTGTCGATGAGCATACACGTACATCTATTATAGAGAATAAAGCACGTGGAATCACAACACATTAATTAAACTCATTACCGTTGATATTATATGTCGGAATCAAATATTGGCTTAATAGTGAAACTTTATACCGTGCACCACACCACAATTATCCAGGGAACAAGTACGTATCAGTAATATATACTGTGGGGAATTCTGAGTCGGCCTCTTGGCAGTAGCACATTGCTAGGTAACTGTCTGGCTCTCCCCACACTCCATCGCGCCTCACCTCAATATCAAGGATCTTCCGTATAACTCCTTGTGGTACGGTCTCTCTCTCTCTCGCTCTCTCTCTTGTTAACCTTTAGGTGTGCTTCAGCGTTTTCTGACACGTTTATCATAGCATAGCCTGAAGACACGAATAGTGAAAGTCCATTAGCTACTCTTCACGGTGAGTGGATATTTATCGAGAACCGTGTACCTTATCACCAATGATGCGTCAGCCCGGCTCTCATATCATTCTTGTTCGTCAGATACAATATGAGGTTGATATGTGCTATTATGTAATCTCTGCAAAAAAAAATATGGATTATCTCAAAATGACTCGCAAAATATCAACAACATGCACTCAAAATAGGGTTCCCCTTATGTACTCCGTGTACCAGTGAGCGCAATGGTCCGGAAATGCATCGTGTACCGTAGGCCTGAAAACGTACCCTAAACAGTCTCTTCTTCCGCGACCACCGTCACTGTCTACGATTAATGGAGGCTGGCTGCCCTCTGCCTCTCGCTGACCTTGAAACTCGCGAAAAAAATATAGAAAAACGAAAACAAATAGGCTTTAGCCCCATGAACCTAGCAACAAGGTTTTATGGAGGCTATTGACTACTAGAACTGCATAGGCCTACTATCGGCCTCACCACGTGCCTAGAACGTAGTATTAGTCTGGCGTCATTAAGCCTAAAACTGTACCCAAACTGGACCCAACGCTACACACCTACGTCATTCTATGGGAGCTGATACACCATCTGCTGCCTTTTGTATTCAATAAGAGAATATTGTTTTTCACCATAGAACTTCTTAGTGAATGAAAAACATTAAGTTAAGGAAGGAATATGTAAAGTACCCGTGACATGTATGACAAAGATATACGGAAAATAGGATGAAGTGACGATTGATGTGCACGTCGGCGCAATGAAACATATCAAGTGGGGAATTTATATTTGTTAAAATATAAGAACTTGTTTGTTATATTTACTGTATTTTTCTGTCTGAGTCATGTAGATATATATACCCGAAACTATGCGTAAAATTATTTTCAGTTAACTTGTTTTAAAACGTTAGAAAAGAGCGAGAGAATTCGCTCTCAAAAGGTACTTGGCATCTAGCCCATGACATGTAGTGCCGACGACCGTCCAACACGCGCATATCCCCAGTAACACTTACGACTCAGAGAGGAAAGGTTGTTCGCCGTGCCTCCGGACTTCTTAACAATTAATCCCAAAGGTTATCTAATCTAGTGAAAAAGTGCAATATTATGTATGAAAATGATCTAAAGATGTGTATAACCGTGCATTTTGAAAGGTAGACTAGTTTTAATAGAAAAGGGAGCGGATCTGCAAGGACTGGTCTTAGTCGAGGAGCAATGTTGAGTGAGTAAGCGAGAAAATACTATACCAAGTCTCTTGCATTACTGCTTGTGTTTGCCCACTTTTTAACCTGTGATGAGTGTATTTACCCAATTCATATGTTACACTATAATTCAGTTAATCTAACTCGTGAATGACCTTCAGATTAATTTTCCTGCCGAAGTTGGAAAAAGTAGAAGATAGTGAGTGTGTGTGTGTTGGGTTGCAGTGTTGGGAACCTTATCAAACTAGTAGATCCACCGCCGACTCTCTTTTGGCGCTCTCTTCGTCCCGTCAGAGTAACTTGGCTCTCTTCGGCGCCATCTCTCTTCCTCCCCCACACCCAATACGTACAGTACATACGCACTCCCTGCCTTACCTTTATAATCTGTATACCTTCGTTACGCCTCACCCACATCTGTTGGAGTCTAGTGCAAGGTGTGGAGTGTGGGTGCGGCGCGGGGCAGGTCCATTCCTTGCTACTCTGTGCGGCGCCTGCTACTGATTGCATGCTTGCACTCACAGCTTTGAACGTAAAGTTTAAGTCCCGAGACTGTTCTTTCTCACGGTCCTATCTTCTTGGCTCTCCTGACACACTTTCGCTTGCTGCTTGCTTTCCTCATTTGCTTGCGTAATACTCCCATAAGTTTACAAGTGAGTAACCACAGTATATGGTTTATTTTTATCGATGTCTTTGTTCTCACGACATATTTTCGAGTAGTCCTTACATATTTATACTAATGCTTGTGTCAGTACATGTTGTTTCTATGTAAAGTTGATATAGTTGCTGAGAACTCTTGAAATAACATATAGTACATGTTGCCATGAAATAACTTGCAAAGTGAACACACCAAGATGTATTATTCACTTGGCACTGATGAATGGTGTTTGCAGTGATTTTATAATATTACTATAGTTCTCCACTAAAAGAAAACAAAACATTCAAGGAAATAACGTATAAATGTATTCAGTTTCATTTTTGTGACAGTGACCCATAATATAAGCCAGTTTGACACTAAGCGACAGATGTTATGGTTACTAAATTTCGTAAGTGAATTGTATAAAACTTAACGAATAATGTCAAGGCAGGAAGAGGTCAAGGACATTCTAAAGCAGTTCAGGTTCAGTGTGTTTCTCGGCAATCAGTGCTGGGAACTGCGTCAACCACCCAGCTAGATCATTTATATATTTAGTCAAAATGGTTGGTAAGTGACTCGCTCTCTTGACTTGTGCTTTCACTGTTTTGAATACTCTTAATTCATAATGTGTGAATATACCTTTTAATATTATTAGAAATTGGATGTTCAAGCTGATGTTGCATGATCTTGTTTTGGTTATGTCATGACTGTTGCTGCCTCCCTCCCTCATTCCTTTTATTTTCTTATTTTCTTGATAAAAAAATGCAAGTATTTCAGGATGATAAAGTTGACTATGCTTGTGTACTGTAGAAGTGCAAATTGTCCGATAAATTTTCGTTCATTTTGGTATTTATTAGTTTCTTGTGTAATCAGCAGAGCGTGAACCTTGACCATAGTAGCGTTGAGCCTCCGTTTACCTTAGCTTGCTTTACATTATTTTCTTTTGAGGATATGTTAAAGGTTCCATTATTAAAGGTGTAATAAATGTTATTTACAATATGTACCGGTACTTGAGTGTCATAAAGGCACCATATGTTGCCTCTGAAGATGTCTTGAATAAAAACGATAACTAAGGTGCTCCAGTGTTTCCTTTTTCCTGTGAGTTATCACTAGCATACAAGTATATAGTATTTATGCACTACCGGTGCGAGTTATGTAAGTTTAATGTGGAAGTCTTGCTTTTGTTCACAGTATTTCAAAGGTGTGTTTTTAATACTTTGGGGGACATAGTACACATTAAAAAGCATCTCTTTACATTTAAAAAGGTTTTATTGTTTTCACTGAATCACTGAAGATAGTACACATGCCAGCCAAGCCGCCTAACGTTTTTGTATCCTTATGGTATTGGCCGTCCCCCAGTGCTCTCTGAAAACATTAATCTCCAACTGGAGAGAGAAATCTCATATTGGCCTTTACTTTCATTGTCAGTGTAGAGGACGGACTCTCCCACCAGTGTGTTGTAAAGAAAAAACACCAAATATCATCAACCCTGCCCAAGCATGGAGTGTTATTATTAATTATGTAACAAGTGTTGTTTACCTATAGCCGATGAGAGCTCTGTGTTTTGATGCAGCTGTGTATAGCTGGGATTCCCCTGCCTTGGTTCAGTCGTCCGACGGACTGCCTGCTGCAAGAGTGGAAATTAATTGTTCTGTGTAGCCTTGAAACTATTTTGTGTAATTTTTTCTTAATAGCCCGAGGAATTATTTTCATGTGAATTTAGTTACGTGCAGTTATTCATACATGTAATATTCTTTTTCAATATTCGGTTTATTCTTACCTTTTCTATATATTTATATTTTGTACACAAACACTTAAACTTAGCTGAGTACTACCTGAAGGTTGGGCAAGTTCTCCTGTCACCAAGTAACCATCAGCCTTCGACTATGTGGTCACTTAAACTAAGATACAAATTGCATAGTTGATTCAGTTTTATCATAATTGTGTTTCAGTCTGGTAGTCGATAGCACGCCCGTCATGTTTCTATTGTGATGAACGTGTTGCTTCCTCATCAGTGCTTTTTTCTTTGTTACTAAGTATGTTAAGTAACACACACACACACATTTATATATATATATATATATATATATATATATATATATATATATATATATATATATATATATATATAATGACGTAACATAGTACTGAAGTTCACATTTCGATATATCGTAAATTTTACTGTTGTTGAAAAGAAACAATTCGTGTGTGGGTTCAAAGTTTGTGTTTAGTCTGCGTTGAAATGTGGGTTAATGTCATCGTTAAGTATTACCAAGTGAGAGTTACTCCAGACTTTCCTTTATTGATTTTGAAGTATCTGCCTCGTCCTTTGTCCTGAGTAGTGCGCGATGGGAGGACACTTTGTGTTGACTCAATCTTAGGTTTAATTTCGTTGTTGAGATTTTATAGACTTTTAGGAGGAATAAGAATCCATGTGTGTCTTGGAGGAAGACGTTTAAGAGGAAAGGTCTTTAGTGGCACTGGAAGCGTTTCCTCTTCCACGTTGGACAATTTTGCGATTGTGTTCTGTTTAATGCCATTTTTTGTGTAAAAACTTGCCTTCTTGCTTAAATTTTCTGCTACTTTAGATCCTGTTGAGAAATCTTGACTTGATTAAAGCTTTTAATATAGTCTTATACATAGAAATATCTGTACGGTATTTCAAGCACTTGGCAGTAATAATGTAACCTACAGACATTGTTACGTCTTCTGGCGTCTGTTATTGGCCTTATGCGTTATATCGGCAGCCTTACTTATTGTTGCATAACACCGTATTGTGACGGTGTCGTCGTAAATTTAGTGACCTGTTTAGCGGGTAGTTAATAAGTCGCTTCTCAAGTAGGCTGCTATACAGTCCTTATTTTGATAGGGTGTTTTCTTCATTTTACAGTACCAGTATGTATTACACAGTACTTGTTGATGATTATATAATCGCACTCGATTCCTATTTCCTCGTACTGAATTAATTGTTAGATTGGATTAAGGTATAATAATGAGTTTTATTTTGCAGTGTTGAATATCAGAGTTGAAATTATTATTATTAATTTCTTGAATGTTGTTTTTTTTCTTTTAATTCATGGAGTTCTTAGGTTTCTAGATGGAAAAAGTCTGTCAATCGACCAATTTGCTGTTTACTTTGCTTACGTATTGTACTGGGGACACGAGTTTTTGTTAGCTGTAGATTTCAGCCTTATGTCTCATGGGACTTAAGAATTAGACAGCCGGGAATATTAGACTTTTATTAATTGTGTTCACCTGGATCTTTCAGCCTTTTGTAACGAGTGATTACCATGCCATCAGTACTATCCGCAAGAAAAGCTGCTCGCTCGCACTTGGTAACTGCGTTGTAGACTTGGACATTGATCAAGCAACTGATAAAAGAGCTATGTGCGAGTTTGTAGTTGAGGTTGAAACTTTGGTTTTGCCAGAAATTTTCCATAAGTTATGTTTTAGTTTTTTTTCTTGTTCTTCTAAGGGATCTTTAGTTCACTGACTGGGCCTAGCAAAGCCATACAGACGTACCGGTATGACTTGATCCTTGGGTGTAGCGATTAACGAATTCATGGACCAGGTATATGTCTCACTTATTACAGGAGTGTTTGCTGTTGAATTACCTAATTTTGGATTATCGCAGGTGTGTTCAACTTATTTGAAAATGAACATCAAAGAGTGTAAAGAACAATGAACGTGCTTCTTCGTTGCAATATCAAGCTATTGTAAAGTACGATATTTTTTTATTTTTTGTCAAAGTTTCACAATCACCAAAAATAAGATGTTTTCCAAATCCCATGAGATAAAATCAATGGCGTTTACAGTTCTTAGCGAAATTTGTGTTCAGGTGATGGATGCCGCCACCTTGACACCTATACTTCATTCTGTTGTAATATGGTTGGTGTGTCGACCTTGTAATTACAAATATACACCACATAGAAGGTCTAGACACGGGAAATAATCATGTTTTTACTTTAGTTCCCCGAAAAAGGCAGGTTTCTTTGTTTCCTTGGGGGCGAGTGGTCTGGTCGTCTAAGTGCCTGTCCCAGTAGCAAGAGCAGAAGCAGTCTAGCCATACGACGCAGTACCGATTCCTACTGCCCATTGTCCTCCAGGCTAAGTGTTATCAGAATCGTTAACCTGACAGTGGAATATGCTCAGAGTACTCAAGGCTCTGAATGTTGTCGAAAAAATGAGTGTTGGAGAAGTCATCCAGTTGGAGAACTCTGGGGGTCAAGAGGAACTGTCGGGGATAGTGTTCACGACTTAGCGCAGGGAGTATCTCTAGCCTCGAATATATGGTGATGGATTTATGTAATGGTGCTGAATATTAAACTGTGATGAGCCTCTTAGATTTGAGGAGGCAATCGAGGAAGTGTTTGAGGATGAAAGTTA